TTAATTAATTTATTTATTTTAATTGGAGGCTAATTGCTTTACAGTATTGTAGTGGTTTTTGCCATACATTGACATGAATCAGCCATAGTTGTGCATATGTCCCTGATGACTTAAGGGTCTTGCTGCTTTCTCAGCAGCTATGTGCGGGTGCAGAGAACAGAATCCCTCTGCCCCATGACTCCTGCTCATCCTCATTCACCTCCTGTCACTCTTCCCTTCCCTCTTGCTCTGTCCCACTTCTCTAGCCAGGAGAATTGCATCCCCCACTTGAGAAAAGCCTTCTTTCTTCCTATTTCTTACTAAGCTGTTTTACCTACTTCAACCTCATTCTTAGTTGGCCTGCCAAGTAGGATCAGCCCACCAACTTGCTGGCCAGTGATAACAAACACATATGGAACTGGAGTGAGAAACTTCCACAGCAGTTCCATCATGCCCCCAACATCCAAGCACGTGATCAGAGACTCGTCTCCTAGAGCAGGGTGTGGACCATTTCAGGATTTGTCAGATCTCACCATGAACTGCCGCATCTTCTTCCCCACAGGGTTAGAGCATTTCAAAACCAGCGCTCACATATCACTGTGTTTTGATCTGTCTGGAATTATCTCAACTCCTTATGTATCTATTCACTCAGTAGTCTCCTGTCTGTCCTCTCTGAACATCAGTGTCAACCCTTAGCTACTGTATAATACTAGAAACGTTGCAGACACAGTAGCATTTGGTACATCACTGGGAAATAATTATTGAATAAATGAATGACCATTCGCTTAAAAACTGTTACTGAGCCAGGCAGTGAGAATCAACTTTTACTTAAAATCCAAGAAAACCAACCAGCCAAAAAAATAAAGTAGTTCTCCAATATGACACGCAGAATAGCAATGGCTTCAGCAAGAAAGAAGGGCATTTCTTTCTCACCTCAAAGTCCAAACTGATGTGGCGGTTCTGGTCTGGTCCAGGCTCCTATGTCTGGTTCCTCAGTTTTGTGATCCAACGTAGCTCCATTCCAAGCAAGGAAGCACCCGCCTCTGCCCTTCGAGGGCACGACTAGGAAGTTGCACACAGTAACTTACCCCTCTTCCCTTCTCTGGAGCTCATCCCGTGACCACACCAGTCACAGGGGAAGCTGGGCCGTGCAGTGCTTATTCTAGTCAGCCGTGTGTGCAGTTTGAAAGCAGAGATTCTCTTAATATGAGAGAAGAGGGATGGAGGGATAGTGGAGGGGACCCCAAAGCAGGATCTGCCACCATCATCCCCTTAAGAGAAGATGTTTTTCCTCTTCCCGTCCTTGCCCTCCCCAGGCCTTCCACCAGCCAAATGGAGGCGAGAGGTCAGTGTTTAACATCCCTTTGCAGACCACATATGTGGCATGAGGCATCTGGGGCTGTGTGCCCCCTTCCTCCTGCATCCTCTCTGGCATGGGAGGGCTCTCTCACTGCGGCGACTTGGGGACTGCCCTCGGCACGCGGCGGTTTGTTCAGCTGCCCGTTCTTCTCATGCCCCTGGGTCATAAAATGTAAACAAACAAGAAGCCATTTGGGAGAAAGAATACCAAGGGATGAGACTGGGCCGGTTCATTTCTAAACCTGCCCAGTTCATCATTCAGAAGGTTGCCACCAAAGAAAAGAGAAATCAGGAGAGAAAGCACCGCATCCAGAAGTGACTTCCCAAGGCAGGCATGTTCCTGTGATTTAGCAGGGAGGGGAGGATAGGGGTTGCCATGGTAATCAGGACCCCAAAAATAACCTGGAGTGAAATAGACTGGCCTAGACTTTCTGCCAGATGTGTCTGGACAGGCCGTGGAGGAGAGAATGGGATTCCAGCACATCATGCCGTATTAGTGTGGACACATTCTCTGGTTTCTGGGTCTCAGATAAGCCTCCGTGGAATGAAGAGCTGGAGCAGATGCCCACGTGTGCTGGCGTTCCTGGTTCTTGCTCTCTTCATGTAGCTCACTCCTACTCATCCTTCAGAGACTAGTTTAGTTGTCATTTCCTCCAGGAAGCCTTCCCTGACTCCACACCTCCCAGCTGGCGTTTCAGAACCCTTCCCTGTGCCCCCAAGCTCCCAGTGAAAGTACTCTCTGGCAGTTTACTTCTCCCCTGCCTTACCAGTGCTTGGGACACATCCCCCCCTCCTCTGGATAGGAGTGTTGTTGTTCAGTAGCTAAGTCCTGTCCAACTCTTTTGTGACCCCACGCACTGTACCCCACCAGGCCCTCCATCCATGGGATTTCCCAGGCAAGAATACTGGAGTGGGTTGTCATTGCCTACTATTCCAGGGGATCTTTCCAGACCAGGGATCAAACCCAAATCTCCTGCATTGGCAGGAGTCTTTACCACTGAGCCACCTGGGAAGCCCTGGATAAGGATATGGTTAGTTTATTTTGTCGATTTGACTTTGGAACCATTTCAGTGTTTTATATAGTTATAAAACAAGTTTAATAGCAAACTATTATGAATCTAATTGTATATTGAGTTAGTGTTATAACCTCTTGGAAAGGAGATTTTATTTACCCATATTTTTACTCTTTTCCTTCCTTGCTGAAGTTTCAGGATTCCTTTTTTTTTTTTTTTTTCAGTTTTTAAAATTTCCTATTTTAAGAAACTTTCTGTATCCCTTATTTCAGGAGAGATCTATTGTGACAAGTTCTCTTAGTTCTCCTTCATTTTGAGAATGTGTTGATTTCCCCCATTTCTGAAGGATGTTTTCTCTGGATATAGATTTCTGAGTTGATACTCTTGAATAATGTTGTGCCACTTTGTTCTCGCCAATAGAAATTGTCAAGCTTATTCCAAAATTGATATGTAAATGTCAAGGTTATACTGAGAAGGCGAGACAATCTTGGAAAAGAAAAAACAAGTTGGAGAACTTACACTAGCTGGTTTCAAAACTTAATATAAAGCTACAGTAATCAAGACCGGATGGAATTTGTGCAGAATGGATAGGTCAGTGGAAGAGAATAGAAAGTCCATAAATAAACTTGCACATTGTCAATCAATTTTTGACAAAGGTGCCAAGTAATTTAATGAGGGAAAGGATAGACTTTTTATTCTTGTGTTGGAACAACTGGGTAGCCATGTGCAAAAAGATTAATTTAGGCCTTATCTCACACAGTACACAAAAACTCACTTACATTAGATCATAGACCTAAATGTAAGGCCTTAAACTCTAAAATTTCTAAAAGAAAATATTAGAAAGAGTCTTTATGACCTTGAGTTAGGCAGCAAAAGCAAGATTTATTAAAAAATATTAGTAACTTTAAAACTTTTGCTTTGCTTTTCAAGCGACACCATTAGGAAAATTAAGAGAAAGGACTGGGAGATAATATTTGCAAATCATATGTCTGATAAAGAACCTGTGTCCAGAGTATATAAAGGACTCTTACAAATCAGTGTGAAGAGGACACCCTTTTTTTTTAGTGGGAAAAAAATTTGAATGAATCTTCATCAAAGAAGATAACTGAATGACTCATAAGCACATAAAAAGGTGCCCAACTTCATTAGTCATTAGAGAAATGAGAGACCACTACACATCTACTGCTCAGTTGCTCAATTGTTTCCGACTCTTTGCAACCCCATGGACTGAAGCCCACCAGACTCCTCTGTCCATGGAATTTTCCAGGCAAGAATACTGGAGTGGGTTGCCATTTCCTACTCCAGGGACACATCTACTAGAATGGCTGTAATCAAAAAGAGCTGCCTGAGGCTGAGGATGGGAGAAGGAGTTGACTGCAAACAGGCACGCGGGTTCTTTGAGGGTAATGGAAATGCTCTAAAACTGCATCGTGGTGACAGCTGTACAATTAAGCATTTTACTTTAAAAATCATTGAACCAACGTTTACAATGGAGGGATTTTATAAAGTAGGCCCCAAAGACAGTTCTAGAAAGAAGCAGCTTGGCACTACAGTGTGTGTGCTCAGTCGCTTAGTCGTGTCTGACTCTTTGTGACCCCATGGACTGTAGCCCGCCTGGCTCCTCTGTCCATGGAATTCTCCAGGCAAGAATACTGGAGTGGGTTGCCATCCCTTCTCCAGGGGATCTTCCCGACCCAGGGATGGAACCCAGGTCTCTTGCATTGCAGGCAGATTCTTTTCTGTCTGAGCCACCAGGTAAGTAAAGCCATGTTGAAAATGCGGACTTGAGCCAGACTGCCTGGATTCCAGCGCCCGAGGCTGTCACTCACTGTCCTGGCTGCCTTGAGCACGAGGCTTGATTTTCCTCTGCTCACTTCCCGCGTGAGGAGCCCTGACACACACGGGTTCACTGCTGTTCTGGCAGTAACCGCCCCCCCTTCTTTCTCTGGGCTCCTGCTCCATTGACCTTTTGTTTCTCCGTCACCTATCAAGCTAATTCATTCAATTACTCATTCATTGACTAAGTAGCATTTTCTAATAGTAGTAGCATCGTTTTTATTCCCATTTGACAGGTGGGACAACTGAAGTTCAAAAAGGAGAAGTCATTTTATTCATTCATCTAATTCAGAGCGTAATCATTGCTACCTTACACCCTTTAGAATGGCTGCAATTTTTTTAAAAATCAAAAAATAAGTATTGGTGAGGATGAGGAGAAATTGGAACCCATGTGCCCTGTTTTATATATATATATATATATAACCTAATCACTTTGCTATATGTCCAAAGCTAACACAACATTTTAAATTAGCTATACTTCAGTTTTAAAAAGTAAAAACAAAATGGTTAAAATGGGCAGTGTTGTTATGTACATTTACCACAATTTTTTAAAAACTAAACTATTTTTAAAACATAGTTATCGAATACCGGAAGCTGTGTTGTGTGCACCCTCATTTATCTCTCACCAGAATCCTTTGAAGGTGTTATTTATATTATATTCATTCACTGAGAGAACCGAGGTTCAGAGAGATCGTCAGAGTCCTAAGTTCCATCCAAACTGTCAAACCTCAAAGACTCCAGCTTTCCACCGCATCATTCCCCTGCACGCCCCTCCCTGACTGTAAGAACCTCACCTGTCGCTCCTTCCCACAGGCACCGCTGGGATCTACCAAGGAGCCAACGGACTGACCAGCGCAGCCGGATTCGGAACCGTGCATCAGGTAGACTAGCTCCCTGCCAGGGGCTTTCTGGGATTTTCCATGAACAGTCCCCCGAAAATCAGGGCACCCAGAGAGGCCGCCTGCACCCGTGGGCACCACCTGGTTTCTTATTCCCTGGGTTCGGAGACCACAGGGACCAGGCTGTCCCAACAGCCATTGGAAAGATACAGTGTAGAGGCAGAGAAATCGGAATTATTGGCAGATTTCCAAGCTGAATGGGCTCTGTTCTATGTTCCGTCTTGATCCCCGTCTAAGACACCCAGCGACTGTTGAATCTGGAATGCATGAAAGCAAAAACGTGTCCCTTTCACCAGACCCCTAGCTCTTCAAGGGTGAAAGGACATCATCTTTACCTGTGCATCTCACTGTAAAGTGCCCAGTGCAGAGTGAGGGCATTATAAATACTTGTGAAATGGAACTTAGTCAACACTATAAAGATGGGTGGATGTTGGCTAATAACGTGAGTCTCTTGGTTTCACTTAGAGAGTGAGTTAAGAATTAACCTGCTCAAGATGGATGGGAACTTTGTGTACTGTTGTGTACCTTTCCTGTTAAGAACCTTCCATGAGTTCTTTGCAAGATTAAGAAGCTCTATTTTCCAGTGGGGCTAAATATATGAAACAGTGACTGTGGTGGGAGAGCTGGACTGTCTGGTTGGTTGAAACAGACCAAGATTGGTATTCTTTGGCTTCATCTCTAAGACTCCCCCCTAGAAGGTTCTGGATCCCTGATCCTGTGTAGGTGTACGATATTTGAGCCTCCACCCCCTCCCCACCCCTACCATGAACCTAAAATGTCACCTAGTCTCCTGTGCAAGTCACTCAGTTGTTCATTAATTTTTCCAGCATTTATTGAGTGCCCACATGTGCCCAGCACTCTTCCAGGCTCTGGGGATACAACAGTGGCCAAGACAGATGCTGTCAGAACCATACCCACGTCCCTTGGGGGGCACCTGTTGGCTTCCAGCTGCCAATCTCTGCATCCCTGGGCACATGGGTGTTTTCTGGAACCAATGTATAGGGCAGTAGGAAGTGCCAGAGAATTGAAACCCTCTGAGACCAGCTCTCAAGCAAAGGCTGGCTGGAGTTGGTGTATAAATACCCCAGCTCCCTTGCCCCTTGGGACAGATCTTTCTGAGATGTGTTTTTTGCCATCGTGGCATCTCCTGGGTAGAATTCAGCTCCAGTCCCCACTGGAGAAGCCCCTGTACTGACTTCTTGCCCTTCTTCCCTTTGCTACCTCGCTTCCCCATTTCCCAACTGGTCTTGCCTTCACCCCCCAAATCCTCTACTTGCCCGTGAATCCTTGTCTTGGGGGAAAATTGGCTTTTAGGGAAAGCTCCAGCCCTCATAGAACTTTTATTGTAACGGTGGGGGAACAGGGATCAGTGCAGCAGACCCAGCCCAGGAGGCCCTTGATCCGTGTCAACCTGACAGTCTTCCCCACTCACAGCCTCATGGGTTTCCCGTTCCAGGACTATCCTTCCTACCCTGGCTTCCCGCAGAGCCAGTACTCCCAGTATTACAGCTCATCCTACAACCCTCCTTACGTCCCAGCCAGCAGCATCTGCTCCTCTCCTCTTTCCACGTCCACCTACGTCCTCCAGGAGGCATCTCACAACATCCCCAACCAGAGTTCTGAGTCACTTGGCGGTAAGTACCATCACTGCCCTGTGGTCATCCGTGGCTGTGGTCTGAGAGCTTGTATGGAAGATGAACTGGATAGAGGTCCCGGTTGTAATGAACTGGTCACCCATGAGTTAGCGTCAGCCCTCAGATATGTTTTGTTGGCATTTCTTTGTGTGTGTATGTATGTGAGGGGTGGTGCGTGTGCGTCTAATTGCACCCATGTTTTAGAAAGTCATACATTTTTACCTAAAAATTCTAATGCCTGCCTTCTCTTAAAAGATGATCCAGTCACCCGAGGTTCACATTATTAAGTGACAGTGCTTCGCTGGAGCTGAGTAATGTTTGCTCCATTTAAACAGAGCACACATGATTTCACATCCAGGCCCTTTGGTGATGTTTACATACCTGTGCAAACTAACTCACTAGCATCCCTGTACAAACTAACTCAGCAGCTTGTGCATTCATTTATTGATTTCATAAATCTGCTATGCACATGTCTACTCTTTATGAGACAATTTAGACTCATCACCATTAAATAACATGACAGCCATAAATTAGAATGTCCAATGATAGGAGATGTCATTGCATTTTCTTCTTTTCTGAAACCTCCTGTTTCTGGGGCTTTGTAGAAGGCAAGCTAGCATGATGTCTATGGACATTCATTCAATTAATGTTCGTTGGTGGATGGCTAGGAAAAAAACAGTAATGAATACTCACCACGTTTGTTCCTGAAGTTCTTGGTGCAGCTGTTGCTTGCATTTTCCATCAGTTCAGTTCAGTTCAGTCACTCAGCCATGTCCGCCTCTTTGCGACCCCATGAGTCACAGCACGCCTGGCCTCCCTGTCCATCACCAACTCCCGGAGTTTACTCAAACTCATGTCCATTGAGTCAGTGATGCCATCTAACCATCTCATCCTCTGCCGACCCCTTCTCCTCCTGCCCCCAATCCCTCCCAGCATCGGGTCTTTTCCAATGAGTCAACTCTTCGCATCAGGTGGCCAAAGTATTGGAGTTTCAGCTTCAGCATCAGTCCTTCCAATGAACAGCCAGGACTGATCTCCTTTAGGATGGACTGGTTGGATCTCCATGTAGTCCAAGGGACTCTCAAGAGTCTTCTCCAATACCACAGTTCAAAAACATCAATTCTTCTGCACTCAGCTTTCTTCATAGTCCAACTCTCACATCCATACATGACCACTGGAAAAACCATAGCCTTGACTAGACGGACCTTTGTTGGCAAAGTAATGTCTCTGCTTTTTAATATGCTGTCTAGTTTGGTCATAACTTTCCTTCCAAGGAGTAAGCATCTTTTAATTTCATGGCTGCAATCACCATCTGCAGTGATTTTGGAGACCAGAAAAATAAAGTCTGCCACTGTTTCCACTGTTTCCCCATCTATTTCCCATGAAGTGATGGGACCAGATGCCATGATCTTAGTTTTTTGAATGTTGAGCTTTAAGCCAGCTTTTTCACTCTCCTCTTTCACTGTCATCAAGAGGCTTTTCAGTTCCTCTTCACTTTCTGCCATAAGGGTGGTGTCATCTGCATATCTGAGGTTATGGATATTTCTCCTGGCAATCTTGATTCCACCTTGTGCTTCTTCCAGCCCAGCATTTCTCATGATGTACTCTGCATATAAGTTAAATAAGCAGGGTGACAATATACAGCCTTGACGTACTCCTTTTCCTATTTGGAAACTGTTCTTCCATGTTCAGTTCTAACTTTTGCTTCCTGACCTACATATAGGTTTCTCAAGAGGCAGGTCTGGTATTCCCATCTCTTTCAGAATTTTCCACAGTTTATTGTGATCCACACAGTCAAAGGCTTTGGCATAGTCAATAAAGCAGAAGTAGATGTTTTTCTGGAACTCTCGCTTTTTCAATGATCCAACGGATGTTGGCAATTTGATATCTGGTTCCTTTGCCTTTTCTAAATCCAGCTTGAACATCTGGAAGTTCACAGTTCACGTATTGCTGAAGCCTGGCTTGGAGAATTTTGAGCATTACTTTACTAGTGTGTGAGATGACTGCAATTGTGTGGTAGTTTGAGCACTCTTTGGGATTGCCTTTCTTTGGGATTGGAATGAAAACTGACCTTTTCCAGTCCTATGGCCACTGCTGAGTTTTCCAAATTTGCTGGCATATAGAGTGCAGCTCCTTCACAGCATCATCTTTCAGGATTTGAAATAGCTCAACTAGAATTCCATCCCCTCCACTAGCTTTGTTCGTAGTGATGCCTTCTAAGGCCCACTTGACTTCACATTCCAGGATGTCTGGCTCTAGGTGAGTGATCACACCATCCATCGTGATTACCTGGGTCGTGAACATCTTTTTTGTACAGTTCTTCCGTGTATTCTTGCCACCTCTTCTTAATATCTTCTGCTTCTGTTAGGTCCATACCATTTCTGTCCTTTATCAAACCCATCTTTGCATAAAATGTTCCCTTGGTATCTCTAATTTTCTTGAAGAGATCTCTAGTCTTTCCCATTCTGTTGTTTTCCTCTATTTCTTTGCATTGATCACTGAGGAAGGCTTTTTTATCTCTCCTTGCTATTCTTTGGAACTCTGTATTCAAATGGGTATATCTTTCCTTTTCTCCTTTGCTTTTCACTTCTCTTCTTTTCACAGCTATTTGTAAGGCCTCCTCAGACGACCATTTTGCTTTTTTGCATTTCTTTTCCATGGGGATGGTCCTGATCCCTGTCTCCTGTACAATGTCACAAACCTCCATCCATAGTTCATCAGGCACTCTGTCTATCAGATCTAATCCCTTAAATCTATTTCTCACTTCCACTGTATAATCCTAAGGGATTTGATTTAGGTCATACCTGAATGGTCTAGTGGTTTTCCCTACTTTCTTCAATTTAAGTCTGAATTTGGCAATAAGGAGTTCATGATCTGAACCACAGTCAGCTCCCAGTCTTGTTTTTGCTGACTGTATAGAGCTTCTCCATCTTTGGCTGCAAAGAATATAATCAATCTGATTTCAGTGTCAACTATCTGGTGATGTCCATGTGTGGAGTCTTCTCTTGTGCTGTTTGAAGAGGGTGTTTGCTATGACCAGTGTGTTCTCTTGGCAGAACTCTATTAGCGTTTGCCCTGCTTCATTCTGTACTCCAAGGCCAAATTTGCCTGTTACTCCAGGTGTTTCTTGACTTCTTACTTTTGCATTCCAGTCCCCCATGATGAAAAGGACATCCTTTTTGGTTGTTAGTTCTAAAAGGTCTTGTAGGTCTTCATAGAACCGTTCAACTTCAGCTTCTTCAGCGTTATTGGTTGGGGCTTAGGCTTGGATTACCGTGATACTGAATGGTTTGCCTTGGAAACGAACAGAGATCATTCTGTTGTTTTTGAGATTGCATCCAAGTACTGCATTTCGGACTCTTTTTGTTGACTATGATAGCTACTCCATTTCTTCTAAGGGATTCATGCCCACAGTAGTAGATATAATGGTCATCTGAGTTAAATTCACCCATTCCAGTCCATTTTAGTTGACTGATTCCTAGAATGTCGACATTCACTCTTGCCATCTCCTATTTCACCACTTCCAATTTGCCTTGATTCATGGACCTAACATTCCAAGTTCCTGTGCAATATTGCTCTTCACAGCATCAGACCTTGCTTCTATCACCAAGCACATCCACAACTGGGTATTTTTGCTTTGGCTCCATCCCTTCATTCTTTCTGGAGTTGTTTCTCCACTGATCTCCAGTAGCATATTGGGTACCTACCGGCCTGGGTAATTCCTCTTTCAATATCCTGTCATTTTGCCTTTTCATTCTGTTAATGGGGTTCTCAAGGCAAGAATACTGAAGTGGTTTACCATTTCCATCAGTTGGGGTGATTTAAATAGCTTTGACTTGGTGACAAATGGAAGACAAGATGGCCAAGAATTTTTTAGTAACTTGGAAGACAGTTTAAGGTTTGGGCATTGACTTTGGTCATTGTGACCTCATCAAAGAGTATAGAATAAATGCATAATACCCATGTACCAATTTCCAAATTTTGCTTCCTTGGAAGAGTATGAAATGTAACAAACTTGCTGAATTATCTTTGCCCATCCTGCTTTCCAGCATGTGGCCTCTTCAAACTGGTTTCAGAAATTAAATATAAGCAGGAAATCTTCCACTTGATGCTACTATCTATAATTTGCTGGTGAACTGGATTCTAGAGACTGACTTCTCAAGAATTTGGGTTATGTGAGATGGTCATTTTTGTTCCCCATCCAGAGTGAATATAAAGGCTCTTTGTGTCTCTTTGAAATTTTCCCTTATTGTTTCCCCCTGTTCTTCATTTATCCGCTGGCCCTAAGGTTCAACAATAAGTGGTTGAGATGGTTTTTACTGTGTGTCTAACAAGCTCACATAAAATCTAATGACATAAATAATAGTCAGCTGTAACCGAGGTCTCTTGCCTCATCTCCCCCGTGTCTGTTATAAAGGAACGGCATGTAAGCTTACTTGTGCACACACACACACACACGCACATGCTCATGCACTCTCTTAAAATTCCCCATAAAAACTCCACTTCTGAAATTATCCAGGATCTCCTTGAGTGGTCGGTTCTAAATTCCAGAGGCTCGAGAGGTTTATATATTACTGACAGCTCATGCTCACCCTTTGCGTTGTCCGGATACGCTGTCCTCAGGCTCTGCTCCTTCGCAGACCGCAGCCCCATCACCGCAGCCCCATCACCGCATCATTGGCATCGACACTCGTTCACAGTTATGTGAAGGCCCAACAATTCGCTGATGGTGGGAAGATCCCCTGGAGAAGGGATAGGCTACCCACTCCAGTATTCTTGGGCTTACCTTGTGGCTCAGCTGGTAAAGAATCCACCCAGAATGAGGGACACCTGGGTTGGGAAGATCCCCTGGAGACGGGAATTGGCTACCCACTCCAGTATTCTGGCCTGGAGAATTCCATGGGATCGCCAAGAGTCGGACACAACTGAGCGACTTTCACTTTCATTTTTGCTGATGGCAAAGGCAAAATCTGAACCTCTCTTGTTACTTAAGAGAAAAGACAAATCAGTCGTGGTTGCTTTAATTCAATTATTCTACTTCCACAAACTTACACTAAAAATAAGTTTTCACATAGGTACAAAGACTTAAGTTAAAAGAATTTTTTTTGTGGCACAGCAAAAGCCTGGAAGAAACCTAAATATCCATGAATAGGAGTCAGGTTAAATAAATGGTATTGTATCCACCCTTGGCATACTATACATCTGTTGAAAAGAATCCACTAATATGGCTCTCTCTGCGCTATTGTGATAGGCGAGGAAACAAAAACTATGTGCCTAACATGGTCCTGTAGGGTTTTAAATATGAGTATAGTTTACTGCCCATATTCTCATAGGAAGTTTCTGGAAGGATGCAAAAACAACCGTTAACTCATTTTCTCTGGGGAGGGAACTAGAGGGAAAAGATGTAACAGACAATCTGTAGGCCCCAACATGGAACAGCAAAATTCACATTTTTTTCAAATGCACATGAAACATTTACCAAAATAGAACTTCTGGACCATAAATTGTGAAGTCCCATTACATTTAAAAGGTTTCAAGGAATAAAAAGTACATACTCTGAAAATAGGGGACTTGAATTAGAAATAAAAGGAAGATTTTTGGAAAATTCGCAAATACCCAAAAGCAAAGTAACACACTTCTAAATAACCCATGTGTGATGGTTAATTTTATGTGTTAGGAAGAGAGTTCTCCTTTTCTCTGCCTTCTTGTTCTACCCGAATCCTTAATGGATTGGCTGATGCCCACTCATGTTGATTAGGGCATATCTTCTCTACTCACTAATCTCTTTGGAGATACCTTCACAGCCACACCCAGAAATAATGTCTTATTAGCTGTCTGGGTAGTCTTGGCTGGTCTAAGACCAATCGTCCAAGACCAATGTCTTGGCTCAGTCAAGTTGACACATAAAATAAACCATCCAGAATATGTTTTTTTAAAACTCTCAAAGCCAATAATAAGAAAACAACCCAATAAAGAAATGGGCAAAGTACTTCAACAGACCAAAGAATATACCAGCACGGCTGGAAAAAAAAAAAAAAAGAGAGAAGCACCTGACTGGAACTTCCCTGGGTCCAGTGGCTAAGAATCTGCTTTCCAAAGCAGGAGGCACAGGTTCAATCCCAGTGTCTAAGATACTGCCACAGGGCTGCCGCAGGGCAACTGAGCCCATGTACCACATCTAGAGAGAAGCCCTCACCCCGCCACAAAGAGCCCTAGGGCTGCAGCTGAGACCCATCACAGCCAAAAATAAAATAAAGAAATATTTTGTAAAAAGCACATGACTAGGGTGCTGATCATTAGTCAGAGAAATGCAGATTAAATCCTCAGTCAGACACACACCCCTTAGAATGGCTGTAATTACAAGACTGACCATACCAATGATTGGCAAGGATGCAGAGCAGCTAGAATCCCCTTAACCTTGCTGGTGGGAGTGTGAAATACTACAACCACTTTGGAAAACATTTTTGCAGTTGCTTATGAACCAGTAACCACAGTCTCTTTTAACGAGAAAGCTCATGTCTATGCAAAGACTGATGAGTACTGATGAGTGAATGTTCATAAAAGCTTTAGTCCAGCCAAAAACTAGAATCAATCCAAAAATCCATCTCCAGGTGAATGGATAGTGATACATCCACCCAACAGAGTGGTACTCAGCAACACAGAGAAATAAACTACCGATAAACATAGCAACGTGGATTCAATCTCAGAACAGTTCTGCTGGTTGAAAGAAGCCAGAAAAGTGTATGTTTGTATGTGTGTGAACATCACATACTGAGTGATGCCATTTGTTTAAAACTCTAAAAAATACAAACTAATTTATGGTAAAAGAAAGCAGACCTATGGTTGGCTGGGGAGTGGGTAGCAGGAGGAAGAGACTACAGAGGAATTACAGAGCAACCCTTGGTGCTGGATTTGTTCACTATCTTCATTGTGGTGGTGGTTTCACAGATGTGACCATATGTCAAAACTTATCAACTGTGCTCTAAGTATGTATGGGTTTTTTGTATGTCAGTTATACCTCAACAGTTGTTAAAATAAGTTAAAAAAAATTAAAAGGGGAGAAAGAAAAAGAGTGAAATGACTCCAAAAAGGATTACTATAATTTGCTGTAGCATGTGTACCTCTGACTTTGTCCTTGAACTTTGACCCTTCATTGTCAAGAATGTATAAGGTTGGGGAAAGCTGCTTTTTTTGGCACCCCTAATAAATTGACTTCACCTAACACCTTATTGGGACATTTCTTAGGTAGCTGGTGTTTCCTCCTCTTTTTAATAATATTTGCCTGGACTTTAATGGGACCAACCGGTGTTTTCTAAGCCTCCACAGTCTTAGAACTACCAAATGAATCAGGATAAACTTTATTTATGACTCTTAAGCATCTGTGAATTTATTTACTGCCTTTTCCTCATCCTCCAGAAGAAAGTCTTTGCTAGTGTGGTGTTTTGGGGGTCTCTAATGCTATATCCCCAAAATTTGGGGGAGCTGGAGACAGCCCAGCAGTGCTACAACTCAAAATCACATCTTTTTTATTATGTCCTTAGTCTGCTAAGAAGGTTTATAAATGTTAAATAAATAAAATTCAATCCCTTGGGTTTTGGAGGGAAATAGTCCTTCCAGGGTAGGAAAAAATTAGTGGCTTGCCAAGTACCTTTAGACAAAAGCGTTTCTCCCTGCCACCCCAATGATCCAAGAACTGGCAATTATGGAAGGAAAGATGGAGTCCCCAGGGTACTTTTGGGAGCTAAAAGAAGCAGATGTAAGATGAGAAAGTGGGATGGGAGGTCCTCTAAGGTTCCACGCTGGTTTACAGTTCAGTCCCTCTAGTGACACAGGCAGACCCAAATTTTAGTTCTGGCTTTATCGCTATGCAGGGTTACACGCTTACATCATCTCCATAAGCCTCAGTTCCCTCGTTAGTTAAATAAAGATAATAAAGTCTAATAAAATGCATTTAAAACTTCTGTGCTTAAAAACCAACACAACTTGGTTGCTGATTCTGGGACTTAAGTCCTGCAGGGTGCTGACCACTTGTTCATTGTGGATCATTAGACAATTGCCCGAGGGCAAGAGCCTGGCAGCCTCTCAGCACACTGTGTCCAGAAATGCCACTTCAAAGAGAATTCAAAGGTGCCCACCCTCAGCCCTACACCTTCTCACTGGTCCTTGCATGTATGTAGTAGGTCTAGTCAAACCAAAACTCAATTTAAGCCCTTTGCTGATATCTCCTAATTTCCAGCCCTGTGCTGGATGCTCTTGCCTTAGAATCTCAAATTGACCGATTTCTTAACAAGTAAAGCTTAAAGGACTTGCTTTTAAGATACATACAGAAGATGCAGCAAGCTGCCTAGGGACAAGAACGTAGAGAATTCTCCCCACACACCCCCACTCACCCCAAGGGAGGGAGTTTGATAGCCAGCTATGTAGTGAAAAGTGAAAGTTGGTTGCCCAGTTATGTCCAACTCTCTGTGACCCCATGGCTCCTGTGTCCATGGAATTCTTCATGCAAGAATACTGGAGTGGAGTGCCATTCCCTTTTCCAGGGGATCTTCCCAACCCAGGGATTGAACCCGGGTCTCCTGTATTGCAGGCAGATTCTTTACCATCTGAGCCACCAGGGGAGCCCAGCCAAATACACATGTATGTTATTTTCCTCCTTCTGTTAGTTTAGGGATTCTCAGACCTTAGGGTATATAGACAGTTGTAAGCACAAAACTCTATTCACTGAAGCTGTAACTGCCCCACCCTCGCCTGTCTCCGATCCCTGCTCAGCTGTCCCCTTATCAACGACGTGTCCCCTATAAATTAGTGGCCCCCCAGCACTCTCCCTGCTCCTATCCGACTTGTCAGTTGTCATCACACATGTCCCCACCTGGCATGTTACATGTTTACTTATCTCTCTAATGTCTCTCTCCTCCCTCTAGAGTCTGGGCGCTGTGGGAACCAGTGCCTGGAACCATACCTCGTCAGTAAATCTTTGCTGGATGAATGAATGATTATAAATGGGCATTTTAAGGAACTTTTTTTTTTTTTAAGGAACTTTTGAGAGTTAATTTTGATCCTACGTGATCTTTGCCTTCACCGCTGCCTTTGGGACCTCCCACTCTGGAGTTAGATCGTTCACAGGAGGAGACGCTCGGCCAGCTGTCTGATCTGTCTGCCCTTCCCTTTTCCATGCCAGGTGAATATAACACACACAATGGGCCTTCCACACCAGCAAAGGAGGGAGACACAGACAGGCCGCCCCGGGCCTCCGACGGGAAGCTCCGAGGCCGGTCTAAGCGGAGCAGCGACCCCTCCCCAACAGGGGACAATGAGATCGAGGTAACTCCAGATGCTTCCACCCAATTGAATGAATGTCACATCCACGTGTGGCTGGAACAGGAGGCGGGAGCCAGAGTCCTCTCCAAGTCCCTTGGGGGGAGAATGGCCCTTTGTGTTCACAGAGTGCAGTAACAGAGAAAAGCTCCCTTGATGAGAAGGAGGGAGGAATTCAACTGGCCACACGGAAGCACTGTTGACTGGCCAGGCTAGGAAAAGGGACCCTAGAGGTGGTAACAACCGATGAGCCACAACAGCATCACCTGAGGGCCTGGGAAAACCCAGACTGTGCCCACCGCCAGGGCTTCCAAGTCAGCAGATCTGGGGCAGGGCCTGAGAAGTTGCATTTCCAACAGATTCCTAGATGATCTTGGTGTGGTGGGAGACCACACTTTGAGAACCTCCAGTAAAGATGACATTGCACAGTGGACCTTCCCCATTGGATTGGAGTGATTCTTAACCTCAGCTACTGGTTAGACTCACCTGGGCTGCTTTTGAAAATTCAGATGCCCAGACCTCCTCCAAGACTAATTAACTGGACATTGCAGGGAGTTCTAAAAGTTCCCTAGTGACCCTACTGGGTGTGTGTTGCACAGTCGTGTCTGACTCTTTGCAGCTCCATGGACTGTAGCCTGACAGGCTCCTCTGTCCATGGGATTTTCCAGGCAAGAATACTGGAGTGGGCTGCGATTTCCTCCTCCAGGGGATCTTTCCGAGCTAGGGACTGAACCCACGTCTCCTGCATTGACAAATGGACTCTTTTACCACTGAGCCACCTGGGAAGCTATAGTGACCCTCCTACGGCTTAGATTTATCTGTCTGGAGATAGGAAGCTGGCTGAAATGAATTTGCATTGTTTCTGTGATTCTGAGTTTCTCAGACAGTGGCTCTCAGTCTGGGCTGCACATAAGAATCTTCTGGGGACTTTCCTGATGGTCCAGTGATTAAGACTCTGCCCTTCCAATGCAAGGGGCCCAGGTTCAATCCCTGGTCAGAGAACTAGATCCCACATGTCGCAACTAAGAGTTCACGTGATGCAACTAAGACCCAGTGCTGCCAAATAAATAAATTAAAAAAAAAAAAAAAAGAATCTTCTGGGAAGCTTTGAGAAACCTTCGTTCTTAAGCTGCAGACCGGTGCAGTCAGAGACCTTGGGGAGGGAGCCAGGCGTCAGTACGTTCAAGCTCCCTCGGTGGTTCCGGTGCAGCCCAGGCTGAGAGCTACTTTTGAAGGGCGGCTCCAGTCCTGATTATAATGAAGCAAGTGTGGGGCTACTGGTCAGCGGCTAACATTTCCCAAGCAAGCAAAAAAGAACAGTGTGCGTGAGAGATGGAGGAGACAAGTAAAGCAAACAAATGCCCCCAAACAGAGTGTGCGAGTCGCTCAGTCGTGTCCGACTCTTTGTGACCCCAGGGATGGTAGCCCACCAGGCTCCTCCATCCATAGGATTTTTCCAGGCAAGATACTGGAGTGGGCTGCCATTTCCTTCTCCCAGGGATCTTTCCTGGCCCAGGAATTGAACCCGGGTTTCCCACATTGCAGGTAGACTGTTTACCGTCTGAGCCACCAGGAAAGTTCATGTTATCTGTCTACTGGTATCTATCTAAGGGAAAAAATGGGCACATGCACAAGTCTGTACTTGTTTGCAGAAGGCAGTCATTTGTCGGCTTGAGTGTGCCCAGGGTATACATGAGTCGTGTTGGCAAAGCCTGGGTCACTGTCAAGGTACCCAAATGCAGCAGCATCACATCCCTGTTCACAATCCTGTACAAATCTGGCAGCTACAAATCTCAGCCGGCAAGCTCAGATATGCTAAGAAATACCATTTTCATCATTTCCTTAAAACCAGTGTCATTTTGACTCTGAGTCCCCATCCACCCAGGTGCTAGGGAATTCCATTTCATTACTGGGGCCCTTCCCCCTGCCGGGATTATGTGAGAATCTCAGGGTTCATGTGGTCTCAGAAAACGGAATAATAGGGACTTCCCTAGCAGTCCATTGGTTAAGACTCTATGCTTCCAATGCAGGGGATGTGGGTTTGATCCCTGGTGGGGGAACTAAGATCCCACATACTGCACAGTGTGGCCAATAAATAAATAAGTATCCCCCTGGTTAAGAAATAATAATAATTTTTAATTTTTAAAAAAAGACAAAATAATCGCCTCTGTTGTCCAGTGTGGCTTGGTGGCTGCTGCCTTTCTCGTTTTCAGTACCTGCAGTGGTCCCTGGAAGTTCAGCCATTCTCTGGGGCCTCCTGCCACACATTGGGCATAGAGATCCTTGGGGACAATAAGGACTTTGAAGTACAGTAGCTACAGTCCTTTGGTTGCAAGCAACAGAAACCAATTCTGGTTACTTAAGCAAAAAGGAATTTACTGGGAGGAAACGGCATGAAGAGGAACTCATACAGCCAAAGTTATGAAGAATATTATCAAAGGCCATGCTGGGAAATTCAGAGAGCTTCAGGGTGCCAGCCCCCACTGCAGAGCGAAACATTTAAAATCCTAACACTATGTCACTCGATGTTTGATTCCAAAGAGGCGGCATCCCCTTGTCCTGGTCCTCACTTGTTCCCAGATGGACAGTTCCACCAAGACAGCATGCAATGGGAAAAGGAAACGGGATGCTCTTCTAAGAAGAGGGTGGGGGCTTCCCTGATGGCTTAGCGGCAAAGAATCCATCTGCCAGTACAGGAGACAGGGGTTCAATCCCTGGTCTGGGAAGAGCCCGCATGCCGTCGAGCAACTCAGCCCTTGTGCCACGACTACTGAGCCTGTGCTCTGGAGCCCAGGAGCCACAATACTGAAGCCTGTGTGCCCTCGATCCTGTGCTCCGCAACTAGAGAGCAGCTTCCATTTGCTGCAACTAGAGAAAAGGCCTACGCAGCAACAAAGACCCAGCACAGCCAAAAATAAATAAATAAAAATTATTTTTTGGAAAGGGGGTGGATGCTGGAGACGCTAACAACAACAAATGGCCAGTATCAAGACATTTGCTATTTAGCCAGTATTCTCTGGTTGGACTGTACTAGTTAACCAGTGCTTACTAGTAGGGCTGTGCTAGTTAGCCAGTATTCACTAAGAGAGCAGGAGCAGTTGTTTATGGCTGGTGTCCGTTCCTATCGTCCTGGAAGGGGTTAAGTATTTTGAGCATCACTCCCCTCCCCTAGGGCTTCCGTGGTGGCTCAGTGGTAAAGAACCTGCCTGCCAATGCAGGAGTTGTGGGCTTGATCCCTGAGTCGGGAAGATCCCCTGGAGAAGGGAATGGCAACTCATTCCGGTATTCTTGCCTGGGAATTCTTGTGGACAGAGGAGCCTGGCAGACTGCAGCCCACGGGGTTGCAAAAGAGTCGGACACGACCGAGCGACTAACCAGCAACGACTCCTCCCCCGAGCTTGGTCAGCCTCTGGAGGTATACCCAGCCATCTCCTCTGAGAGCTTGACTGCCCTGGGAACCTGCCACAGAGCGTGTGTTCCCACTGCTCATGGCACCATTCTGTCCTTGCTTTTCCTCTAATTCTTAAAGCCACCATCTTCCAAAACCAAGGAGACTTTGCCCAAACCCTTCAGGGGGATTAGGCCTTTGTGAAAAGTTAGAGGAAAATGTACTGGCTCCAGGTTACCCTTGCTTTCTGCCCTCCCAGATGCCTGAGGAGTTTCTACTAGCTGGAGGTTGCAGAGCTATAGAAAATCCCGGAGAGCAACTCACACTTTAATATTTTTTAAAAATGTATTACGTCACTAATGTGGTTTCTGCTCTTGGTAGGGGACAGTGGGGGCAGAGAGACATTTTTCCATTAAACTGAGAAGGGGGTGGGGTGGCATGGAAGTGGGGGATTATGGGGTGATATTTTTCTAGGAACATCTGCTTCTTGATTCCAGAGTAAGTACCACTGGGCAGGAACAGTTGAAAAGGTGTGAGCTGTGTTTCACTGCCATGCTTAATATCAGCATGGAGGGTTTGCACGAGTCGCACCTCTTAAGTCTTTGGTACTGTTGCTAATGACTGTAGCCCACGAGAGAGAAATTAGGTAGAGAAGTGGAAAGAAGGAGAATTCGGAGTCTGTATTAGTTAAAATCCCTTGACTGCAGGTGCCAGAAACCAACTTGAGCTGGCTTAAGTGAAAAAGCAGAATTTATTTTAAGGATATGGGGATTCTCTTAGAACTCGTGAGCCAAGGGGACAGCCAGTGTCGGCAAGATACCGTAGCCAGAAGGTGGAGAGGCCAGGAAACGCATTTACGCCTTCTCACGCCACGTTCCACAGCGTAGGTTCTGGAATCCCCAGGCAGGAATGTCTCTGCAATGTACAGGTTACTGGGCGCGGCTCTCCTCCGGGCCCCTCACTCTGTGCTCACGCTCAGTCACTCAGTCCTGTCCCACCCTTTGCGACCCCATGGACTGCAGCCCGCCAGGCTCCTCTGCCCATGGAGTTTCCCAGGCAAGAATACTGGAGCAGGCTGCCATTTCCTCCTCCAGAGGATCTTCCCGACCCAGGGATCGAACCCACGTCTCCTGCATTGACAGGCAGATTCTTTACCACTGAGCCAGCTGGGAAGCCCTCACTAAAGGCAGCTGAGAAGCCCTTGCTTCTCACTAAAACCAAGTCCTACGAAAGTCTTGGATCGTGTTTCCCTCTCTCCAACCTCTGTTCCTCTCCCTCCGCAGAGTGGCCTGGCCTGGCCTCCAGATCATCTTGCCAGCAACAGCCACCCAAAGACGATGAATTTCTTTCCAGGCCCCAGTTTTGAGTTCCCAAGGAAAGGCTTCTGACCCAGTGGGGTTAGGGGCCCAGCCCTGGCCGAAACCCTGGTGGACTAAAAAGTTAGCGTCATCAGCAGAATGGCCACCGCGAACAATATACCCACAAAAAACTAGGGCAGTGAAATAGAATGGTGCCCCAGAGAGGAAGAGGGATAGACCCTCTTCAGAGGGAATATAGTCAATAAATTAAGGGAGTCTGCATTAAATTTGAAAAAATTCGTTGATTTTTTAAAAAATCCTCTTACCAAAGTATCTAAGTTTAACTGATCCAACCCAGTTGGATAAATTAGGGCTTAGCATATTTAACCCCCCATAGTGATTTTCAAACACTTTTTACCTTGACCTATAATAAGAACAATACTTATTATCATGACCCAGCATATATATACACATAATTATAAACAGAGCAAAAATTTCACAATGTAATATTCAAGTCTACTAATTGTTTTGAAAACCTTTGTATTCACTGATCTTTTTCCTTTGAGATATTACCTTTCTCCTCACTTTTAAAGGCATTACAGATGTGTAAATACAACCCCTGACCCCCCAAAGAGTTTTCCAAGGTGACCCACTCAAGTTGGTAGACTAAGTAGGTGCCTTTGCTGCCCCCAGCACCAGCTACATAAATGATCAGTCAGCCCTTTTGTTCTTAAAAGTAATGATCACCAGAAAAATTAAGGAAACCTACAACATGAAAAATTATGGCCAAGATAAATGAATAGGATAAATGACAGGAGAGGTAATTTAAGAAACAAAAGAGATCATAGAAAAATTCTGTTTGGTTTTCTTATCTCGTATCCACAAAATAAGAAGTGCAGGCTAATGGAAAAGAAACACTCAAAGAAAAAGCTACTGTAGATTTTTAAATGATAGACATAGAAAGGTTAGAAGAGAAAGTTAAAGACATCTCTGTTTTTTTATTTTAAAAAAATTATAGAAAAAATATTTTTAAAGTATAAGTAATATCAATTCAAAAGGTCTAATTTGACTGTTGGAAATTCCAGAAAGAGAGAACAGTGGGAGAGATGAGAGAACATTATTTAAAGAAACAAGATTAAAATTATTTGAATGCTGAACAGTATGAATGAAAAAAGACTACACCTAGATATAGCCTCATGGGATTTGAGGATGCCAAATATAAAGAAAAGAGCCTTAAAAATCCAAAGAGGAAAAAAGTAAAACCTACAAGCAACTGAAGATCAGTAAAACATCAGACTTCTCATTAATCATCCTGGATACTACAAGATAGAGGGATTCTTTCAAAGTTCTAGTGGGCATTATTTTCCAGTTGGAATTCTGCACTTAGAGGAACTTTACAGTGAATTAAAGGTATGATTAGATTTGTAAAAATGCAGGAAGATTACTTTCTATTCTCCCTCTTGGAAAAAGCAACCTAAGGATATACTCAAGCAAAACAAGGAAGAAAACCACTAAAGAGATTTGGGATCCAGAAAACAGTGAATCTGACCCAGAAATGCAGTAGACGGGAGCCTCAGAATCCTAGCTATGTGGCAGCCCTAAAGATGATCCAGTCCACGTTGGAGCATCTGTCACAGAGGAAGAGCATCTTTGATACAGAGGCTGTGGCTGAATTTGAGGTTCTAATAAAGACACCGTATTGGAAACAAAAGAATTAAAGCAGTTAATAAACTCTAGCAAAAATAAAAAGTTATTCCAGACAGGCATGATTCCTTTGTGAAAAAACGAGCTATGACATGATTTTAATCAAGATGGAGTACAAAAAAGGAGAATACATATGACCTTAGTGGCAGAAACAGTTTCCTTAAAGTCATTCTGGAGGGGACTTCCTGGTGGTCCAGTGGCTAAGACTCCACCCCCCCAATACATGGGGCCAGTGAACTAGACCTGGTCAGGGAACTAGACGCCACATGCCGCAACTAAGACTTGGTGGAGCTAAATAACTAAGTTTTTTTTTTTTTAATAAAAATAAATGGGCTCCAGAGTTATGACACTGGCTACATAGAAAAGGAAGTAAAATCCTAGCTCATTACTTGGCTCTTCAGTGAACAGTAATCACAAGATGTAAATAAATGCCCTTTACTGGCTACCAACTTTTAACATCAACGTGAAGACAGAGCACAGAAGACTTAAGGTACAGTTATAAAGCCCAATGCACAAACCAGTTTATCCACATTGACAAGGCAAAAGTAAGGCTGAAGTTCAAATACTGGAGAGGGGAGGAGCTAGTAGAAAGGGTAGGGACACCAATATCCATATTTTCCATATTGAGCTTGCTGTTTTAGCCAAGAGAAAATATCCAGAGCTTATGGGAATAGGAAATAGAGTGGTTCACTTATGTGAAAAATACAAAATTCTGGAGAAACAGGGGAGATTACCATGAGCTAAACCTTCATCTTTCACAATGCCCAGACTAAAGTGGGCAAATCACGGATTTCCCTGGGGGTCCAGTGGTTAAGACTCCACCTTCCAGTGCAGGAGGCACGTGTTCAATCCCTGGTCAGGGAACTAAGTTCGTACATGCTTCGAGGTGCAGCCAAAAATAGAAATAGAAACACAAAAAAACAAGTAAAGTTGGCAAATCAATAAGTGAAAGTATGTAATTTAGAGTTATAAAGGTAATCACCAGAACTGCTAAAAACAAATGCTCAGAAGTAGCTGGGCTTATGGTGAGTAGTCAACATAAAATGGTAGTATTTTATTTTGTCAAATGAGTTATATGATTTTTATTGTAGGCTTTGGACTGAATTCCTCCTTTTTTGAGCTTTTATGTGAAAGGCAAGAACAGGCATCTCAGTTCTGGCATCTGTGGGTTGACAGGGACCCCCAGGATTGGCCATCAGAATATATATTACACAGTTGAGGTTGAATGGGGACTCAAGGACACATCCATGAGTCACATGTTTTAGAAATTAGAGATAATGTTTTTCAAGACATCTTTCTGCTCCCAAGGAGTTAATTTCTGCAGGCATTAAGTCGGATGCAAGCAAATGTATTTATCTCATTTCTCTCCCTCTCTTTCATCCCAGCGTGTGTTCGTGTGGGACCTGGATGAGACGATAATTATTTTCCACTCCTTACTCACCGGGACTTTCGCCTCCAGATACGGGAAGGTAAGAATCATGTTGTCTCTCTGTCTCTCTCTCTTTTTTTTTTCAGCATAATAGTCCGTCCAGCTGGTTTGTCCTGGGAATTGTGGGGGCAGCTGGTGAGGCAGCTTCTCCAACAAATGCTGCCCCTTTGCATCAGCCCAGGTTTGAGAAGTCCTGTAGAATTTTCCCTTGACATGTGAAAATTCAATCAGCTTCCCCCATTGTCTGCCTTGCCTTTTCTTCCAACACATGAAACAGTCAACATCCCCTTGATCAGATGTAAGCTTGTAGTCTTCGCCTGTCTCCCTCCTCCTAAGGGGGCTAGGAGATGCTTCAGCCAAACCCAGGAATCCTAGCTGGAAAGACGAGGTAAAGTACTTTTCTTCCTCCCTATTGTTTATCTTAGTATCTCTGGCAGATGAATTTAATTTTCCTCCCATTTTTCTGAGAGAAGGGGGAGACATTTTGCCAGCTCCAACAGCTTTGCAAATGTATCACCAACAAATTATGTCGAGGAACCATTCAGTTAGAATTTCAGGCAGATGCTGTTGGTGGACTGCTGGTCCATGCAAGAACCACCAAAAACTAGTTAAAAATGCAAAACTGAGGGTTTCCCCGGTGGCTCAGTGGTAGAGAATCCGCTTACAATGCAGGAGATGCGGGTTCAACCCCTGGGTCAGGAAGATCCCCTGGAGAAGGGCATGGCTACCCACTCCAGTAGTCTTGCCTGAAGAATACCATGGACGGAGGAGCCTGTCGGGCTACAGTCCATGGGGTCTCAAAGAGTCAGACCAAGCGACTGAGCATGCATGCAATGCAAAAATGAACCCAACCGCTAAAACCCAAACCCTGCCGATTCTTTGCATCCATCCTTCGGGCTTGGTATCAACCCTGCTGTGGATGCTCCAGATGTCTGCCATCTCTTCGGGGAGACAGGTAGAGGTGGGGGGCGGGGCTGTGGGGGACAGACACAGGATCAGCTCCTCTGAGTTAAGCGACCTGTCGGCAGCTGCTTCCACGCATGAGTGGGAACCAGGAGACTCACCAGCGCCTGGAAAATATTTCTGTTTCTGTTTAGAGCCCAGGAATATGATTTGACATCACCTCATGGCTTTTCCAGCTGCTCGTGTTTTTTATGAGGGTTGTAACAAGCTGGATGTGTAATTAGCAAGATAGATTTATCGTCTGCCGTTACGTTGTAAAGAATGTAAAAATGGTGTTGGTGGTGCAGAAACCTCTCGCCGAGGAGGAATGCCGTTAATATGTCTAGCAGTGCCTGCGGGAAATCCGGCATGCGTTTTTGGAGTGTGCACAGCTTAGGGAAAGGATGGCAGAGTCCAGAGCTGTTGAAAGCACCAGAGCAGACTTGGCAGCTATTGCAAAAAAAAAGAAAGGAAGAAAGAAAATGGGCTTTCCCAAAGGGGCTGAAGTAGTGAGATGCCCACCCGGGCTGGGTGTTCTGTGGTTCTTAACCAACCAAGTAAAACCATCTCCCCATAAGAACCATTCCTTCACTCTTCTTGCCCTTCAAGAAGTTCCACTGCTTCATGCAACAATTTGGTTTCCATGTAGGGCTTTGTAATCTTGGGTATGATTTTTGTGTCTGTGTCTCACCACCACTTTTTAATCCAAGTTATGCTCTTACTGCTGCTGAAAATTTGAGGGTATGGAAAGCTGGAGAGGGAAAGTTTAAGAGATGACATGCATTTGTTTTCTGTGTCTATGTCTCTATTTCTGCTTTGCAAATAGGTTCAATCTGTACCATTTTTTTCTAAGGAGGATGGGATGAACTGGGAGACTGGGATTGACGTATGTACTCTGTGTATAAAATGGGCTCCCTGGCGGCTCAGAGGTGAAGAATCCGCCTGCCAGTGCAGGAGATGAGAGTTTGATCCTTGGGTCAGGAAGAGCCCCTGGAGAAGGAAATGGCAACCCACTCCAGGGTTCTTGCCTGGGAAATCCCATGGACAGAGGAGACTGGCGGGCTCCAGTCATCCATGGGGTCACAAAAGAGTCTGACATGACTTAGCAACTATACAATAAAGTGTGTAAAATAGATAACTCATGAGAACTATGAAGCACAGGGAGCTCTCCTCAATGCTCGGTGGTGACCTAAATGGGAAGGATATCCAAAAAAGAAGGGATATATGTATGTGTATAGTTGATTGAACCCACTCCATTCCTGCCTAGAAAATCCTGTGGACAGAGTAGCCTGGTGGGTTTCAGTCCATGGGGTCGCAAAGTATCAGACACAACTGAACGGGTTTCATTTTCATGGCCGATTCACTTTGCTATACAACAGAAACTAACACAGCATTGTAAATCACCTCCAGTAAAAAATATACTCAGTAAAAATTAAAACAAATTCCAGGCTCGCTCAAAGCGGGGACAAAGCTCAGAGCTCTCTTCTGGGCCCCATGGCACCCGGTCCCTGTCCGTCCTCATCACTAGCCAGCTCTCCGCAACCCGATCACCCGATCACCCGATCACCACCACCTTCCCCTACAGCTCTCTGGTCTCCACCCTCGCCCTTTCCAGCCGCCTACAGGGAGGTCATCCTAAAATGCAAGCCTGGTCTCTCCTCTGCTGAAAAACTGTCAGTGGCCTCCCTGCAGAGAAACCCTAGCCCCAGCCTCCAAGGCCCTTCCCGAGCTGGCTCCTTCCCCTCTCTCCCGCCCCGTTTCCTGCGACTTGTCCAGAGTTGCTTGCTGTCCTCGTAACCTACCACATTCTCCCCCATCTATCCTAGGTTTCTCCCGGAATCAGAGCCCGAGGCCAGGAGGGAGTGAGTGCTGGTAGTTTAGCTGGGGGGTGATCCCAGGGGGCTCTGAGCAGAGCAGGGAAGTGAGGTGGGGAGGGGAAGGCGGCCTCTACAGGGTACGTGGATATTGGCTTTGCCAAAATGTTCATTTGGGTTTTTCCATAAGATATTAGCTACTAACAAACAGTAGCTAAGGCTGCAGGTACCTGGGGCTCAGAACTACTGGGGACCTCTGGGAGACCCGGGAACAGCCTCAGAGGTGATAGCCCAAGGAGCAAGGATGATGAGAAATTCCCTTCCATCATGGGTTGAGGGATTCTTCTGGGGTGTTAGCTCCCTGTCTTGGCCTGCCCCGTGAAAACTCTAGGGCAGGAGATCACAGGTCCTAACAGGAGAGAGCCTCTGCTTCCTGAGAGAACATGGAAGAGGGGCACACTGGAGGTTTCTGCTATGATCTAGAATGTTCTAGAAAGTTGGTGTACTAGGTTAACTCACACTTATCTTTCAGTTCCCATTTTCAGTGTAACTTCCTCCAAGAGGACTTTCCTAACCAATCCCATCTAAATTGCATCTCTTCCCATAATTCTTATTTTTCACTTACAATTATGGAATCCCCTGGTGGTCCATTGGTTAGGGGGCTTTCCCAGTGGTAAAGAATCTGCCTGCCACTGCAGAAGATGAGGGTTCTATCCTCGGGTCAAGAAGATCCTCTGGAGAAGGAAATGGCAATCTGCTCCATTATTCTTGCCTGGGTAATCCCATAGACGGAGGAGCCTGGCGAGGAACAGTCCATGGGGTTGAGTCAGACGCAGCACAGCTGACCAACTGACACGCACACCGGTGGTTAGCACTCCATGCGCCCATTGCTGAGGGCCCAGGTTCGATTCCTGGTAAGGGGACTGAAAATCCCATGAGCCTGTGACGTGGCCAAAAAATTAAAAACGAATAAATAAAAGTAATTATGTACTTATTCTCTGCCTCCCTTCTAAGTTGTATGGGCCCTGAGGGCAGTGTCCATGAACATTTTTTTATCAACCCACCTAAGCACAGTGCACAGACCAGATTGCTCAATGAATATTTGTTGGGAGAATGAATCGGGGTGGTCCTCTAGAATGAAAGCAGCATGACAACAGGCACTTTTTTTTTTTCTATTTTGTTCATTGCTTTGTCCCCAGAGCATAGAACAGTGCCCCCTACTTAGCAGGCATCAAATAAATATTTGGTGAATGAAGGGAAGAAGGAAAGAAAATAGTATCCAAACAAAAAATTCCTAACTGGGGGCCACCCGCCAAATTCTGCCTGCAGACATTTGTGTCTTGCCCCTAGAGTGTTAGAAAAAATGTGAATTTGTCGCCAACATTTAAAAAACCAGGAGATTGCACAGACCAAAATAATCTCGATGTCCAAGTCTTCTTGAAAAATTAGAAAATCTGGCAATCCTGCGTTCCCAGATGGCAGCAATCAGCAGGAGCCGCGTAGCTGCTGCCCAGTTAGTGGGGGTGGATGCTCTCTAGCCCATCCACGGCCCCACCTGGCCTGTTTAACCCATTTAGGGGACCTTCCTGACCCCACTGGCACCTGAGTTTCGACATCGGTCCTAAAATTACAGAACCACAGAAATTAGAGCTGGAAGGACCTGGGAAACCATCACGTCCAGTGAGTCTCCGTGGGACAGTAGGAGAAACTGAGGTCCAGAGAGAGTGAGGTCACCCAGGGCATAACAAGAGGCACGCCGCAGGCTCATTTGCCTCCCTGGGTACTTGCACAAGGTTCAGGGAAAACTAAGGTGAGATGCTCTTGGAGACCCCAGGTCTCCTGTGCCATCATCATCCCTCTTCTAGAATCTTCCATGAAATTAGAAGACGCTTGCTCCTTGGAAGAAAAGCTGTGACAAACCCAGACAGCATATTAAAAAGCAGAGACATTACTTTGCCAACAAAAGTCCATCTAGTCAAAGCTCTGGTTTTTCCAGTAGTCATGTACAGAGGTGAGAACTGGACCATAAAGAAGGCTGAGCACCAAAGAATTGATGCTTTTGAACTGTTGTGCTGGAGAAGACTCTTTGAGAGTCCCTTGGACTACAGGGAGATCAAACCTGTCAATCCTAAAGAAAATCAACCCTGATATTCATTGGAAGTACTGATGCTGAAGCTGAAGCTCCAATACTTTGGCCACCTGATGTGAAGAGCCTACTCATTGGAAAAGACCCTGATGCTGGGAATATTGAGGGCAGGAGGAGAGGGGAGTGACAAAGGATAAG